AGATGGGTGAGACTGCTTCAAGGAAGAATGGCTTTTAATAAAACAATAGAGATTAAGTATTTGGTTCATTATAGATTTTTTTGTTTTTTATTTAATTGTTTCAATCTAGTAACAAAAGTAGCACAAAAGGTGGTACTCGTAAAAAAGCAGGACAGACTTCAAGAAATCTTCTGCTGAAGAAAGCCAAAAATGCGCAGCAAGAACAAAAAGGCTGCTTGAAGTAAAAAAAAAGAAATTGTATTAGTCATTTACAATTATCAAAATATTATTTTAAAGAAATAAAACTCCTTTAAGACATGCAGATTGATAAGAAAAGAAAGACAGTTTTCCGCAACTTACAATCTTAAAGTACGTTTGCTGAAAAACAAAGAGCAGTTGAATTAGAAGACAAAAAATTTCAAAAGCATGGTCTACGCCAACAAGGAAGAACCAACCAACCACTGCTGAGGACCATAGGAGGGCCCCTCCTGAGACACCCATCAAAATCCACAAGTGGGATTAGCAGTGTGGTGTCACAAAACCCAAGAAAAATACAAAACAAGAATTACAAAAGAAGTAAACAGTTTTGCTAGAGAATCAAAAACCAACAATACCACATACCACCAAGAATAATGAGTCAGTAACCTTTCATTTCCAAAACCTGTAGATTAGAAGATCCAAAAATCCAGAGGTGAGAGAATTAAAAAAAAAAAAAACTACAACAACCAAAAAAAAAAAAAAAAGGTAAAACCACAATAAAGGGAAAAAACATTTCTGTAATTCTTTTGGGGGGGGGGGGGAAATACATAATTTTCAATTTTATGAAGTTAAAGAAAAAAAAGGATTGAAGAAGAACAACACAAAAAACCTTTTATGAAAGATAAGACAAAAAGAAGATAGTCCATGTTGTCTTCTGCATGTCTGCTACTGTTCTCCAGACCATCTTGGCTTTGGTCCAGGAAAAGAACAGCTAAGGAAGAAAAAAAATGATCTTTTTTTGCTCCAGTTGGACAAAAAAAAAGAGGAAGGAAAAAAAGAAGAAAAAAAAAGAAGAAAAAGAAAAAAGAAGAAAAAGAAGAAGAAGAAAAAGGAGAAGAAGAAGAAGAAAAAGAAAAAAGAGGGACAAATGGTACGCTGTGACTGGGCTATGGCCAGGAGACCTCGATATGCTTTCTTTGAAGCATATCACAATTTTTTTATTTTTTTTTTTAATGGACAAATGAAAAGGGGAAAGGAAAAGGCAATGTGAAGAAAGAAAAGTCACAATATGAGAGTCACTGATCATAACCAAACAGGACAAAGGAAAAAGAAAATCAGATGATGGACATTTCCATGGTTTTTATTTTGTTTTGTTTTTTCCTTATGGAAAACAAAGCAAAACAAAACCAAAAACAGGACAAAGATGAGAGGGATGAAAGGACAGAAAGAATGAGTAAGATCATTCTGTGAACGTTAGTTCAGCACTCTTACCTCTTATTGGTGTACCACCTGGGTGGATAATATGAATGCAAATAAGATTAGAAAGAAGAAGCATTAGTACGAGAAGAAGGAGGCTAGGGCTTTGGAAGAAGAATCAAATTAGATTTACAGAATTAAATAAGGTCTTAAGAGAAACTTGAATTACTATACTGTTAAAACAGGAATATATTAGATAGTATTATCAGGTTATAAAAGCAAGTTGCATTGTACCACAAAGGGCAAAAAGGCTATAATTGGCTGCACTGCCATTCTCAGAGCAGCATCTGAGTTCTTAGACGTTCGGCTATATAGGGTTAGAAATGTATCAAGTAGTCCTCAAATACTTAAAGAAAACTTTACAAAGCTGTACTTATGACATATTTTAGAAAAATATTGGAAACTCTATTTAAATATATATATATATATATGTATCTATATATATATAAAAAGAGGATATACTGAAGTCTATCTCAAAACAAACACTGTAGTTTAGGCTGGATTATGGCATTTACTATTCTAGATCCATGTGATACATGTGTACTGTCTCTTTTAGGTGTTGCTATGACTGATAAGACAACATTTCTGTGGAGGTGTGCGTGTGCGCCACTATAGGGGTCTGGTGACTACACTGACTGTTAGTAAAATGCATGCCATGCATTTTAAGAATAATAATACTAATCATATAATAATTATCATAATCATAATAGTCTGAATATGGAAATTAGTGGGGGTGAAGTGCGCTTCAGAACTAAGCACTTACCAATAGATTCTGGAGATTTAAATACGGAGAGAAGAAAGACAGCATAAAAATATTATTATATTCCTTATAATTTGGTACAAAGTTTTCAGTTAAAGCTTTATATACTAAATCATCTATGTCACATGTGAAAAAAATCTTAATTTACATTAACAGAAGGTTAATTTACACAGTTCTGCTGACAACAAGCAAAAAGTAGGTTAACAAGACGATTTAACATCACAGGACAGGTCAAAAGCTGAGAATTCTGGGAAGACACGTGATTAAACAACTTAGATTCTACAACGATATCTACTACAACTGTCAAAGAAAAAAGCTCATTATATCCCAGTGATCATGATCTGATCTTATTTTGGGATAAGCATTAAACTCGGTAAATTTAGATATTTGTTTGTATGTTTCTTAATTTGTTTTGTTTTGTTTTGTTTTTAATCTAAAGAGAACAAAAGAATAAACTAAGGCAGGAGGAGAGTGAGAGAACTGCTAGGGAGGTGCAAGGGGCAAAGAGAGAGAGAGCGGCAAAAGCTGGAATCTACATCAAAAGCAGACTTCTGTAGATCCAGAAAATATAGGATTCATAAAGCTTTAGCGTGGACGCACACTACTGTGGCTAAATGTGTTGGAAAAATGCTCAGCCAGCAAAAAAACCCCCAACTTTGTTCCATAGATTACCCAAAGATTTCATTTCCTTTTTTTTTTTTTTTTTTTTTCAGATACAAATCTGCATGGGAAGAAGTACTGTGCTTTATGTATTTGTGAGAGGAAAGAAGATGTGTCCAAACTGGCTAATCTTTGGTGAAGTCAAATGTGGAAAAGACAGCAATAAACACATTTTAGATTTTAATTGAAGTGTCTAATGCAGGTTTTGGTTTTGATGAATATAACCATTGGTACTCCTTGAAATTTCTGAATGAAGTCCAATGTTGAAATAAATTCGTTAAAAAAAATTAAAAGGAAAGAAGAAAGAAAGAGGAGAAAATGGATCCATCAAGTACTGCAAAAAGCAGTAAAGAAAAAAATCATCAAAAAATACAGTCACAGCAGTGAGCAATGTGGAGTAAACAGAAGCTGCAAAACACATAGAGACAGACTCTATAGAAAGCTATGACAACATCACAGACATGGACAACACACTCAGTAACACAGAAAAGGAGAGGGGAAAGAGAAATTATTACCTATAAATAAAATTTTTTTAAAAGGCAGAGAAAGAAAAGAAAGAAAAAGTGAGAGAGAACAACTCTGGGCGTTGGTGGAAACAGTAACGAGACCCTACCTGAGCGTAGCTGCTTGATGCGGCCATTGTTGTTGCTTGTGTCAACAGGTAAGAAATCTTTGAACCAAGTTATTTCAGGATCAGGATTGCCACTGGCTGCACATAACATGGTAGCTGTACGAGTTCGTTCAACCACTTTCAGCTGTGGGCCCATATCAATGGTTGGAAAACCTCGAGGAATTTGATCCTCTGAAAAAGAAATTTACAAATTGAGGAATTTCATGTCAGTTGTGCAGTGCTGCCTGAAAGCCCAAATCATCATCCTGCTTAAAGTTCAGTGATCACCTAATTGTTTGTAAACAACAATCAATTGATCAAGACTCTGATACAAAGGAAAAAGTTCATTAAAAATGGCTATAAACTTTATAATTATAAAATCAGATGAGATACACTACCAAGCATGCAATCACTGGATTCATACTATTGTACCATACAACACTGATATTGCCCTGCTTTCCAGAGTCCTTACTACTTTATATGAAATATCAAATCAAATTACCATTATCAAATCTACCATTAAGGAAATCTACCATTAAGGAAAACCCCTTCTCTTTATACCAGAGAAATACATAAGGAAGGATCATCATGTAATGTACGATCAGGCCACTAACTCAGAAGACCTAAGTTATGTTTCTTGCTTATATCATAATTACTTATCTGTTGTTGCTCAACATCTGCTGCCCCTGTGCTTTGATTGTCCATCTCACAGATGGACTTGATAGTGCTTTATTGCTACAGGAGAGTGCTGTGAAGATGAATGCATTATGTGACTGCAAAACACTGAGACGTTCTGAACATTGGAGCTGTGTGCACAGCAAAGTCAAAGTGGCACGATACTCACAATGATATTAAATAGATACAAAAATGTCTATTAAAATACTCAGATACAGCCCAAAATCCTCATGCTAGTGTGGTTAATATTGAAATATTAAAAAATACTGCACAAGAGTAATTGACCTTCATACTGCGACACCGGCTAGCAAGTAACACTGAGAGCACAATAGGATCAGGAAATTTCTCAGAAATCAGCTTTGCATAGCTAAAATAATCTGTTTGAAATACACAATCTTGCTCCTCAATTCCACAGCAATGGCAAAAAATATTTTTATTGCAAAATACTACTAATTCCATTCAGAAATGAAAATCAAAAATAACCAAAGAAAGAGGACGAACACTAACTACCAGCCACATGCTATTTAATGTCTTTACTAATCATTACTGACATGCAATTGATTAGGGGATAAAACTTACAGGAGAAATTGTTCAACATTAATTCTCTTAAGTTAAGAAGTGTCACATTTTCAAATGTGTCAGATAAGTCTTCAGACTTTTCTGAAAAAATGTATAGCAAGCAAACACAGCCTCTTTGTAGTTCCTGGGGTGTAATGTTGCTCAGGAGCAACTTAACTGCTTGCAATACAAGTGCACATAGATAACCATAGAATTACAGAATGGTTTAGGACCTCAAACAACATCTACATTTGACCCCTCTTCCATGGACATAAATCTCTTCCACTACATTAAATTACTCAGACATACAACCTGGTCTTGAACCACCTTCTGAGATGGAGGATCCACAATCTCTCTGAGCAATGTATATCAGTGCCTCACCACCCTCAGAGTAAAGCTTTTCTTAAGATTGAATCAAAACCTATCTTCCTTTAGCTTAGGACAAATCTCCCATTGCCTATCCCTTTTGAAAAGCTTCTCTCCAGCCTTCTTGTAGCTCCCCTTTAGGTACTGGAAAGCTTAAAAAGGTCTCCAGAGCCTTTTCCTTTCTTGGCTGAACAGCCCCAAATGTCCCAGCTTTTCTTTGTAGAAGAGGTATTCCAGACTTCTCATCAACTTGTGGCTCTCTACTGGACTCATTCTAACTAATAAAAGTCTTTCTTGTGTTCGAGGCTCCAGACCTGGACACAGTACTCCAGGTGTGTGTCTCACAACAAAAGAACAGAGGAGTAGAAGCATATCCCTTGACCTCCTGGACATGCCTCTTTTGATGCAGCCCAGGATAAGGTTGGCTTTCTGAGCTGTGAGTGTACATTGCAGGGTCATACCAAACTTTTTATCTACAAACATCCTGTCTTTCTTTCCAGGGTAAACCTCAATCCATTTTCCATGAAATCTGTATTGTTTTTTGGAATGACCCCAACACAGGTACAGAACCTTTCACTTGGCCTTGTTTCACTTCCTCAGGTTCCACCTCTCAAGCCTGTTAAGGTCAATCCATGTCCTTCAGTGTGTCAACCCCACCACACAGTTTGGTGTCATTGGCAAATTTGCTAAGGGAGTACTCAATCCCACTGTCCATGTTGCTGACAAAGGTGCCAAGTAGCAATGGTCTAAATACAAATCCCTGAGGATGCTTAGCTGACACTGGTTGCTAACTAGACATTGAGCTGTTGACTGCAACTCTAGGAGTGCCATCATCCACCCAATTTTTATCTGCCAAGAGCTCCCCTGTCAAAATTCAGACCTCTCCAGTCTGGAAACAAGGATGGCATTTGGGAGAGTGTCAAATGCCCTGTACTAATCCATATAGATGATTTCTGCTGCCCTTCCTTGTTCAACACTGCTTTAACACAATCCTAGAAGGCCACTAAATTTGTCAGGCATCATTTGCCTTTAGTGAAACCATGCTGGCTGTCACCTAATTATTTTCAGTGTCTCTTAGCACATTTTCCAGGAGGATCTGTTCCATGAACTCTATAGGCACTGATGTGACACTGTCTGGTCTGTAGTTCCTTGGTCTTCCTATTCTCCCTTTTTAAAAGTGGGGTCATGTTTTCCCCTTTCCTGTTGGTGGGAACTTCACCAGATTGCCAGGAGTTTTCAAATACGATGTGTAGTGGCTGCATTCTTTCATCCCAACACTCTAGTCATAAGAGAGGTCCCTGTGTCTCTATGATGCCAGTTGAAGTCAAAGACCTGCAGGCATCCACACATCTCTAGTACCACCCATGCTGCATGTGTTAGCATAAATGGGTTTTAAGTTGCTCCCCAATGAAGCTGACTTTCTGTCTGGTGTGGCTGGAATGTCTTGGTGCTGTCCCTCAGGTGTCCTACTGCTGACCTGCATACACCCTCCAGGCTCTTTCTGGCTCAGCCATCTAACTAGTATGTGTGGGATGGCATGTCCCACACCTTATCACTATTAAACCTGATGATATCTCCCTCCCCTGTCATATCTCATTTAAACTCCTATCAATAAGCCCTGATAGCCCTTCACCAAAGAATCTCTTCCCCCCTTGGAGAGAGCTGAATCCCACCTTCATTCAGCAAGCTGGTGCTATAGGCCATCCCATTATCAAAGAAAACAACATTTTGATGATGACACTAGTCATGGAACCATGTGGGTCCATCTGCTTCTTTCAATGCTAATACCTGCAACTGGAAGAACAGAGGAGAAATAACGTGCACCTAATTCACCAACCATTCCAGGGCCTTGGTAAAGTGAACACAACTGTCCAGAAAGCTTCCATGACTCTTTGAAACTAGAATTTCTACCAATCAGCTGATAAATGTCAAATCATTCATTATCCTATGGCTAATTCACAAAGAAAGGTATGCTTCGTGTCTGCTTATAAAAGTCTTGGCTATTAGCTGACAAGATCTGACTTGTGACAAAACCGGATTTTTATTACGTTTACCTTTCCTACTTGGCTTATACAGAAAACCCTAGAGTCCCTTTTGCAAATACCTAAATGTACAGCAAAGATAATCTATGTTGAATGTTAATAGGATGGAGTAGTAAAGAGCCTCCCTTTCTTATTTTTAATATGGGCAATTAAATTCCATCCATCTGCCTTAGGCATAGAATGTCTTTGAATGAATGCTCTTCATGAAATTTTCATGAGAAACATCACAATCTAACATTCAAATACCCAGAACTGTTACATTTTTGATGGTTGTGGCTGGTATCCAACCTGGCTTTCAGGTATTTGGCAATAAACCCAGATATACAACATCAAATGGACCAGAGAAATATTGAAACTTCCAATTGGAGGGCTTATCACGGTGGATTTAATTTTTAAGACATTAATTACTTATTTTCCCTCTAAGTTTATTCATGATTTGTACAACTGTCTTTACACTTTAGCAATATCAAGGATGACAGATCATCACTCCATGAAACAAAGCTGAGCATCAAATCATTAAACAACTGCATCTCAGCCATAGTAAGAGAAAAGTTAACTATTACAAATTTTTTATATATTGGTACCTCTATAAATTTTATATGAGGTGGCGAGAAAAATATTTTTTAGTGATCATTAATATGCTCACTAGGTTCTAAACTACAGTATATACTGCTCTTCCAATGTAATATTCAGTTCCAGTCAATTAGTTTCCAATTCATCAACAATTTAAATCAGACTTGACCTTCTCAGAGCCATTTGGTACTGTCATTTTGAGAGGCCATTAAAGGTCAGATTTTTCTGTCCTTGTGGCTTAGTGACTTGTACATGTAATACGTATTTTGTTTAGGATGACAGATACAAGTGATTTAGAAATAGGCCACATTCTTTGAATTTGTTATTTGTCTTAAAGGTGTTGAATTTCATTGTTGGCATTAAAAGAATGCATTTAGTACTGCACTAGTATAATTTCCAATCACTGCATGACTCTACAGAAGTTATTTTTCAGTGTATGATCTGAACAATGTAGGAAACAATTGCAGATTACCAGATGAGCCCTTAAGAGAGGATGTAACAAAATGACCTTGCCTTGCTTTGTATCATGGCTCTTAGTATTTCTTAAGTGTCTGTATATTCCATCAGTTTGTCATTGTTTAGGTAAGGCACCCAGAATGGACAACAAACAGAATCTGGAAGCCACGGAGCTGGTGGAAAGTTGTCACCTTCTTGCCATTACTGAAACTTGGTGGGATGTGACTGGGGTGTGACTATTGATGGCTACAGGCTCTCCATAAGAGACAGGTGAGGAAAGAGAGAGGCAGAGGGGGTGCCCCTACATCAGCAGGTAGACTGCGTGTCAAGACTGTCTCTGAAGAGCAGCCAGGAGCAGGACAAAAGCCTGTGGGTAAGGATCAGGGACTGAGGCAACAAAGGAAACCTTGTGGATGGCTTTAAGTACAGACCCCTGATCAAAGGGACCCTATTGATGAAACCTTCTTGCTCCAGCTACAGGAGGCATCTTGCTCACACGCTCTTGTCCTGCTGGGGCACTTC